ACACTATGTAAATAGTATCATACTGTAGATAATCTTTGGTAATTTGCATTTGTTGCTCAACATGTTTGGGAGGTTTAACCTTGTTGAATTATGTAGTTGTAGTTCATTTTCACTGTGAGTTTTCCATTGATTATAATTCAATTAATGTATCTACCTCTTGATGAATGTTTGTTTCCAGGTTTTTGCTATTTCAATTTGTATTCCTATGAACTTTCTTATGCATGTCTCTTTGTGCTAATGTGCAAGAGTTTCTCTAGTGTTTTACTAGTTAATGCCAAATTATTTTCCAAAGCGGTTGCCAAAGTGGTTACACCAATTTACACTTCCACCAGCAAAAACATGTAAGAGTTCCTCTTGTTTGACATCTATAAAACATTTGATGTGGACCTTTAAATTTTTGCCTGTTTGGTGGATGTGTAAATTTGCCTTTTCCTTTTTATTAATGAGGATTAGTTTAATTATCATTAATTGAAGTTGATCTCCTTTTCATAGGTTTATTGGTAATTCTTCTTCTGTAAAAAGGCTATTTATATATTTTACTAATTTTTCATTTTTTCATTTATTTATGGTAGATAGTGCAAGGAATCATTTTTCTATTTAGTTGTCTTCTGACTGATTTTTTGGAGTTCTTGATTTGGATAGTAATCCTTCTATGATTAATGGGTTATAAATGTTTTCTTCCTAGTCTATAGTTTGTTTTGTCATGGTCTTTGTGTCTTTGTGGTATCTTTCAATGAATACAAGTTCTTAATTTTAAAGTAGTTGGATTTACCAATTTTTTATTTTATAGCTTGTTTTTTAAAATTTTTTTCCCTATTCAGTTATTCTTCTATATTTTCTTCCAAAAGTTTGGGAAACTTGCCTTTAATATTTCAGTCTTTATTCATTTGAAATTGTTTTTTTGTATAAGATCTCAGGTAGAAATCAAATTTAAATATTTTTCTCATGTACATAATTGCATTAATTTCCTATTCCTGCTGTAACAAATTATCACCAACCTAGTGGCTTAAAACAATAGAAAATTATTATTTTATAGTTCTGGAACTTAGAAGTCTGAAGTGGTATTCACTGGGCTAAAATAAAGGTGTCAGTAGGGCTGCATTCCCTTCTGGAGATTCTTGGGGAGAATTTTCAAGTTTTGCCTTTTTTTTTTTCTTTTCCAACTTCTGCAGGCTGCCAGCTCATGGCCCCTTCCAACTTGAAAGCCAGCAATGGCCAGTCACGTGTTTCTTACATCCGAGTTTCTTAGCATCACTCTGACACTTAACTTCTGCCTCCCTCGCTCATGTAATTACATTGAGCTCACCTGGACAATCCAGGATAACCTCCCCACCTGGAGATCCTTAAATTAGTCACATCAAAGTCTCTTTTGCTATGTAAGGTAATTTATTCACAGGTTCAGGGGATTAGGACATGGACATCTTTTGAGAAGCATTATTTTGCCTCCCACAATAATCAGTTGATTCAGTGCTGTTTATTGAATCTTTTGTGAACCTGGGTTCAGAGGACACTGTTCTGGTGACAATAGTAATAGCAAACACTTGTGCCAGGAATTTTTCTAAGCATTGTATGCATATTATCTCATTTAATTCTCACAACGACATTTGTGCTAAGTGCTACTATTATTTCTATCTTAGCGATGAATAAATTGAGGGACAGAGAAGTTTAAAGTACCTTGTTGAAGGTAGGAAGTAGCAGAGCATGGATTCAATCCCAGGCAGTTTGGCTCTAATATCCATGTACTTAGCACCATGCTATTGTTAAATGGATAAATGAAGTGGATAAATCTAGCTTCCCTTAGATGTGTGTTTGTGACAAAGTCATATAAGTTCTCTGAGCCTCTGTTTCATTATCTGTAAACCTGGAATAGTGGTATATCTTTTCTGCACTTCATAGGGCTGCTGTGAGGGCACACTGAGACAGCAAGCATGAAAGCAGTTCAGATAAGGAAAATAGGGCTCCATGAGTCTTTCTACCACATGTCACTGGCAGAGCCAGGAGTGGGACTCAGGTTTCTTGGCAGCGAGACTGGGGTGGGCTACTTCTACCACAGTGGTAATTAGAGCAATTACAGATTCCAGTCCTCAAATTGAGCATTTTCCTTTCATCAGCCTCCTGCCCTGGAGCAGGCAATGTCAAAGCTATATCTGTGTATTCAATCAATTGTTCATTAACACATTCACTGCCACACTAGAAAAACAAATTATTTCCCTGGGGCCAGGGTGTTTTATTAAAACAAAACGATCCTTTACAATTTGTTTTTTTATTGTTTTCTGTGTGTGTTATATGCTATACAATCCATGTTTTTAGAATTAAATTGTTAATATTAATTGTAAGAATTAGAATAGCAACAATTAAGATTTGATGAACCCACTGCAGGGTTTTGCTTCATCATGCCCCAGGCCCAAAACTAGCCTGAGTTAAATATAACTCACATGGCAGTCAATGTGTTAAGAATGTCATCATTCTTATAATATATAATATATAATAATATAATAGATTATATTGTTACAAGATCCAAATATGAGATAATACTTTTCACCTGGAACAGTGTAAAGTTGCAAGTAATATTTAGTATCATTTACAAATCAAGGGGAAAAGGAGGAGAGTTTCAGAAATTGACAGAGAAGGTAGGCTCAGGAAAACCACCTCCTCAGGTCTTTGTCTCTTTTCCATCCTCATCTCATCATATTTTTGTCCCTTTCCATTTCCCTTCATGCTTTCTTACTAGAGTAGGGATCAGAAAACCTAAATTTCAGCTGTGGGGGTCACCACTGACCACTTTCACTTTGAACTTCAAAGGCAAAAGTGAAGAAAAAGAGCAGAGTGGGGAAATTCACTCTACCAGATCTTAGGATGTATACCTAAGCTATAGTAATAAAATCTGCATTGGCATAGGAACAGGTCTAGATCAATAAAACAGCAACAGGAGCCCAGAAACAGACATGTGTGTTTCTGGGAACTTGGCATATGATAGAGATGCCATCACACACCAGAAGGAAAAAGATAGATTGTTTAGTGTGTGCCGCTAGTAAAACTGGCTCACTAAGTAGGGATAATAATATCGTATTCCTGCTTGCACTATATGCAAGGTGAATTCCAGATGGATTAAGACCTAACTGTCATAGGCAAAAGTAGAAGTCAAATAGGGGAAAATGTAGGAGAATATTTTGCAATTATTGGTGGGAAAAGATTCTTAAACAAGACCCAAAAATCACACTCCACAAGGCTTTAGCATTTGGCTACATCAAAATTAAAGATTTCTCCTTCATTGTAGGATAGCAAAGACTGAGCTAACAGGATGCATGAAAGATTGGGAGAAATATCTGCAATGTCCAACACTGATGAAGGATTAATGTTCTAATTCATAAGAAACTCCTTCAATTCATTCAAAATCTAGAAGAAAAATAGCCAAAGGATGTAATATGTAATTCACAGAAGGAAAAATATCTCAATGGCTCTTAAGTACATGGAAAAATGGTTACTACTACCAATCATCAAAGAAATGCAAATAAAAATTACAATGTGACACTACTGATACCAGATTGATAAACATTAGGACATTAGAAAATACACAATATTAGTATATAAAGTGGGGAAACGGGTATCTTCCTACTTTTATGTGCCATTGGTGAGAGTGTGAACTGGCAAAGCCATTCTGGAGAGCTACATGACAGAGTGAAACCAAACACTGTAGACTTTGTGACCCAGCAGTTTTATTTCTTTCCTAAGGTCTGTAAAGGACACATCTAATACTTATTCCAGCATTGTCTACGGAACTGCTGGCAGCCTCATCATCCACCATTTGAAGAGTTAGCAAGTAAAACGTGTTAGACACAAATCAAATAACTATTAGTGGTCAGAATTCTTGAACTCCTAGTATATAGAGCCACATGGATAGATCTCTAAGACATTAAGTTGAGGGAAAAACAAGACACAGAATGGGTTCTTAGGACAGTACCATTCATGTATACTAAAATTAGGTACATAGACCATGTCTCTTTCCAGGATATATACAGTACATGTACTGGGAAATACTTAAACATACAAGAGAGGGTGGATATGGCGGGTAGAAGAAAGGGGAGTGTGGAGAAGGAAGGAGTGGAAAATAAAAATTAAAAGAGAGGGCCCTTGCTGACTCTGAAGAGCTGAAGAGTATGAACAACATCACTGGTGTCCCCAACGTCCAAAAATCGCCCCAATCTCCCTTCTATCGTTTCCTGTTCTTAACAGAACCAAGAGCAAGCGACTCCACGTGGCTGTCCACAGCAGGGCCTTTCTCCATAAAAGACCTGGGTCCTCTCTCTTCCAGGCACTCGCTTCCTGAACCCCAAGCTCTACCTTGACTGCACTTAAGATTCAGTTTAAGTGTCTCTCTCCAGGAGGCTTCTCTGAGCGCTGCCCTTCCCAAAATGTCCGCTCCCCCAGGACTCTATTCCCACACACCCCTCCCTCAGGGCTAGAGCTGTGCCAGGGTGACTCGGCGTCCGCAGCCCGCCAGGTGGGGTGGCAGTTGTAGGGATAAACGGGAGGATACTTCAGCAGTGGAAGCCAAACCGCCCTCTCTTCTGCTTCCCCTCTCATTGGCTCTGCCTCGAGCCCATCCCTGCCCACGGTCCCCTTCCCACGGTCCCCTTCCCCGCCCCCTTCCCTGCCCCGCCCCCTTCCCTGCCCCCTTCCCTTTCCCCGCCCCCTTCCCTTCCCCGCCCTCTTCCCCGCCCCTCCGCCCCCTTCCCCGCCCCTCCGCCTCCGCTGGCAGTGGGTGGAAGGCTCTGCGCACGCGCCACGGGGTGGGGCGCGCTCGCTTGGGGGCGGGGCGAGGGGCGAGGAGGGCAGAGGAGCGGGCGCAGAGGGGCGGCAGGGGCGCTGCGTCGTTGCGCGGCGGTTGCGTCCGGCGGCGTGCGCGCGGCTCCAGGGAGGGGGCGGGGCCGAGGCGGGCGCTGCTGCGGCTCCCCCGCCCCCGGCCCCGCCCCCGCCGCCCGCCCGTCCCGCCCCCCCCAGGCTGCGCTCCTCCTCCAGCCGCCCGCCAGCTTCCTCGCTCGGCTCCCGCGGGCGAGAGCGGGAGAAAGTCCTGCTGGTGGGCGGCTGCGGGGCTGCGCGCGTCAGGCATCCCGGGGCCGCTCCGGCCCGGGCAGCGAGGGGGCCCGGCGGTCCATGCATCCGCCGCCGCCAGCCGCTGCGATGGATTTCAGTCAGAACAGCCTGTTCGGCTACATGGAGGACCTGCAGGAGCTCACCATCATCGAGAGGCCGGTCCGCCGGAGCCTCAAGGTGCGCCCCGGGGAGAGAAATTGCCCTCAGGGTGCCCGGCCGGCTGGCCCCGCGCAGCCCGGCGCCGACCCCCGCCCCACTCCGCCACAGTCTCCTCCCCGAGGCGACCCGGGACCCTCGCAGAGTCGGACCGGCCCCTCCGTCCTCCTCCAGTCCCCGGTCGCCGTGTCATCCAGAACTGGCCCCCCCGGGGCCCCTTCTTCAGCTCAGCCCCGGTTCTTCCACTCTGGATCCCCTACCCTGAAGGACTGGTCCTGACCCATTCCCTGAGCCGTAGCCAGCCCCGCGGCCCCTGTCCCTCCTGAGGCGTCTTAGCCGCTCCCCACCTCAGGAACGGCCGAGCCCCTGTCATGGGGCAGCCCCAGGGTCCTACCCCTTCAGGCAGACGTGGCCCCTCAGTTCCGGCCCTGTTCTCCCGCCGCCTGCAGGGGCTGCCCCTCGCAGTCACAGCCCACTTCTCCCCGGTCCTCTCCTCGGCTCCCCCAGCCCTGGTCCCCTATGGTGTCTGGGTTCTGGCCCCGGGACCACCCCTTGGACCACACAGCCTCTCCTCCTCCCCCCACCTCTCTCTGGGACCACCCCAGGTCCCATCCTCACCTCCCATCCTCAGGCCCCCATCAGATCAAGCATGGGTCCTTCTGTTCCCGAGGCAGCCCGGCCTCCCTTCGTTTCCCAACCAGTACCCATTCTCAGATTCATCCTGGTCCCCATCTTCAAAGCCCTGTCGACTCTTTGCCCTCACCCTAAGTCCCCTCACCCCCTTTCCTCCTAGCCCCTCCAGGACTCTAGCTGGGACTCTGCTCCCCATCCCCCTTGAAGGAGTCAACCTTCAGCTTGTTCTCCCCACCCCCACTCTCTCCCCCACCCCGCAGAGTCATCTTCCTTCCAGAGGTTCCAGCTCTCACCGCCGGCAAACCTAGTTTACGGACCCCCCTTTCCCTGGCCATCCTCTTAATAGTTGTTTTAGCTCTTCTCTCTCCCACCTGCCGCAATATCTCCAATCTTTGATTCTCTTTCATCCCCAGAGTTTATTCCCTTCCCTCCCCCACTCCAGATCTTGTCCTTTACATTCCTACTCGGTTGCAGCCTTCATCTATCCCCTTTTGAACATTTCCTGGGGCAGAAAAAAAATGCTAGGAAAATAACCTTGAGGTATTAAAGGTAAAAAGTGTATATGTGTGTATGTATGTATATATACATATATATATGCAACACATATATAAATATTTATTTTATACATGCGTATGAAATTGATTTCAGTATGGTTCTGAAGCCACGATGTGATTCTTCAAGCTGCAATCTGAAAGCTAGAAGAGTAAAAACAAAAAATCCCCCAAAACTCAACCACCCAATTTGAGACATCTGTGGTTGATGTAGCCTAGTATCCTCAGATCCTTGATTAGTTTTCATTGTTAATGCTTAAGGGTGAAACTTTTTCATTAGTCTATACTCATAGAGGGTCGGGGTGGGGTGGGGTGGGGCACACAAGACTGACTTGATGTTTGTGTGCATAATTTGTATTTTACATTTGACAGACACCAGAAGAAATAGAAAGATTGACAGTCGATGAAGGCCTCAGTGATATTGAAAGGGCTGTCTATCTGCTCAGGTATTTCCTAGTCTTTCTGTGACATTGCTTTTTTTTTCCCCCCTGTGACAGCGTGGATGCATGTTTTCTGATATGTCATGTTAGTTATGCTCACATTTACTTAACCACTTGAATGGAGTACTTTCACATGCATAGCACTTAATTCTATTATAAATTAGATTTGAGTATGGACTTATGAATTTGAGAACTGAAATCAAGTAAGATACCTAACTTATAGAATATTGTTTGGAGAAGGAGGAACAGAAGAACTAATGCTTTGAGTTAAACATCATCCTCTTTTTCTTTTCTGGCTTTGTTTGGTTTTTCTCACATAAGATTTAGTAAGTTTAGCATTTCTTGGGGGCAGAAAATGCTGGAGGAACAACCTTGAGGTATTAAAGGTAAAAAGTGTGTGTGTGTGTGTGTGTGTGTTCTTTTGCGTGGATGTCTATGTTAATAGTCACAGTATCCTGTGATTAATTTTAAGTTAATTGTAGAGGATGAATGTTATATGGTATTTATTACATAGAAAAAAATCCACAAATATGATAGTTCAATTTGCTGTTTAGGATATCCTGTTTATATTACTTTTGTTATGTGAACTTTAATTTTGCCTGAGAGGTTTTTAAAATTTAATTGAGCCTGCTCTCATTTAACTTTCAAACCATCTCACAGGCTCTATAGAATTGCTTAAGGCAAATGGTATTGTAAATATTTACAAGATTTTTATGAACTATTTAAAAAATTGTGTTGTAGATTTAGCATCTTAAAAGCAAGTATAGTGAATATTAATAAACATATTGATGAAAATACCTTAGAAACAGAAAATTTCTTAAGGCATTTGTGTATATTTATTTTAAAAATTTTCCTTAGCTTACACAACATTTTTTCCCTTTCTGACAAATTAGTCTTCACTTCTGTTCTTGTTTTTTAGAATCAGATTTTGAAAACTAGTTTTATGTGTTTACTTCCTAGGATATTTGTAATTTGTCATCCTTGTTTCCTTAGCTCAGTGCCTCCTTGTTCTCCTTTCTTATTGCCACTCCTGTGTTATTCACTGAATGATCCTATGAAAAAAATTCCCTCTCTAGGACTTCTATTTGCTTAATTATTCTTTAGCCTAATAGTGGAGTCTTGAATTTCTGTTCTTTAGTCAGAGTACCAGCATGCTTACCATTTAGACCATTTCCTTTGATATTTCTATCATTTAAAAATGTTTCTGCATCTTGGACTTTATGTTGATGTTATTTTTTCCCCCTTTTGGTCATTTGTGGTTTGCTCTCATCATTTCTACCTATTTATTTAAAAGAAAACTTTTATTTGGGTATGAATGAACAGTATGTGTTTTTGGCGTTTATTAGAGAATAATGAAACTTTTAACCCATTTTATTCCTTAATAATTAACATGTTTTTTATGGTAAACAGTAGTTGTCAGCATTTGCCTTTTCCCACGGTTCTTTTACTTGAAGTAGGTAGACAGTTGATGAACGTTTGGATAAATTTCTTTTAACATACAGCAGTTAATGATTTCAAAAAAGCTCCTATTCTATTGAATTATTTTCTTTAGTATAAATACTGGCTTAGAATTAGGAAATGGAGAATCTTGCTCTACTTACTTGTGATAGCAGACACCTTATTCTAGATATCAGTGATAAGGCTTCTTTTTTAGGAAAGCTTGTTTTCTATTTGCTTTTATTGTTTGTTAGCAAACCAGGTTGTCTAAGTTGTCTTTATTTCCCAGATACAGAACATAAGTTTCACTTAGTTCGGGAACTTACAAAGCCCTTATAGAGACAGATGGGCCATCTCATTCTTAGGAGAGTTTTAAGAGAGATCCGATATCTCCTTTAGTTTCTTGTGGCTTACCTACCTTGAAGGAGGTTTGCAAGGTGACTCAGAAGAGGAACACTAGTTTGGTTGTGTATGGGTTCGCCAGCTGAATTCTTCTTTTGTATTCATACCATCTCACAATCTCCTATGGGAAAGTGGGATTTCACCTTAAACCAGCTAATGGAGGGATTATGCCAAGACTGCCTGAAAGATTCTTTCTTCCCTGGGATTCAGGGCAGGGAGTGGGATTATTTCATAGACTTGTTCCAAATTTTGCCTCTGTTAAAGCCTCCTCGTCTGCTCTCATGTATTGAGCCTTCTGTTTTAAATGTAATTTATTTCCTTTCTTTCACTTGTACTTTCTAGTGCTATAGAACTTAATACTGAGTTCCTTTTCCCCATTCTGTCAATGATATTCAGGTTTATTTTTAAGTGCTTTACTTTTTCCTCTGTGTTGGATATTTAATATTCATATATACATATATATTTTGCTCTGCTTTTGTGTGTTAGATTTGTTTCTTGAGTCCTCTTATTTTGTATATTAAAACTATTTTGGAATATTATGTTAAATTGGAATTCAGAGTCAAATATGTGTAAGTATCATTAGGAAATGCTTTATATTAGCAAAGGTTCTGATGGCAATCCAGTGTATAAATAAAGCATTATAAATAGTCATCCAGTGAAAAACAAATTATACTGACAAGTCAGTTATTAATGTTATTTTCATTAAAGTTTGGAATGTTATGGTATTAAAATATTTGACACAGATGAATTTGTGGTTTTGCATAAATATGATGCTGATATACCCATCTGTGGCATTTAGCACTGGAGCAAAGCAATGACTTTCTTAATAGTCACTTTCCTAATAATCTTATGTGAGTCTTATGTGACTTTCCTAACAGTCACAGCTTGTGTCTCAGTCAAAATCATAGCACAGCATCTTTTTCCTGTTCTTGCTCTTCTTTGTGATGTTGGCATATATTTTAGTAATGTACTTAAAATATGTGAATAATTTTATTATAGAAGAGTCCTAAGTATGTATACTGTGCTTTCCTTAAATAAATCTTTTCTCATATACCTCTTATTTTCTACCAGATAACGTCCAGACCCTCAAGCCTGTAATTTAGAATACTCCATAAGTGACTCCATTTTAGATGTGCAGTGTGATGTCCCAACAGTCCCTCACTTTTTTTTTTTTAACAGCCTTATTGGGATAGAATTCATATTCTATGTAGTTCAGCCATTTGCAGTATACAGTTCAGTAGGTTTTAGTATATTCACAGAATTATGCAATCATCACCACAGTCAATTTTAGAATATTTCTTCATTCCCCCCAAAATCCTGTACTATTAGCAATTACTCCTCATTTCCTAACTCTCTCAGCCTTTGTGAATCACTCATCTGCTTTCTGACTAAATGGATTTGCCTATTCTGGACATGCCTATAAATGGAATCATATAATACGTAGCTATTTGTGACTGCCTTCTTTCACTTAGCATAATGTTTTCAAGGCTAATCCATGTCATAGCATGTGTCAGTATTTTATTTCTTTTTATTGCAGAATAGTATTCCATTTTGGGGATATAACACATTTTGTTTATCCATTCATCAGGTGATGACATTTTGGGTTGTTTCCACTTAATCCTTCACTTTTTGAAGCAGTTATGTTAGCCTCTTCACTGTAATTCAGACACATTGTGTTCATCCTTAATTCTGCTTTTCTCCATCCTGCCTGGAATAATACTTTTTTTAAATTATTTTTTTAGAGACAGGGTTCTTGTGCTGTTACCCAGGCTGGAGTGCAGTGGCATGAACATAGTTCAAGGCTCACTGCAGCCTTGAACTCCTGGGCTCAAGCAATCTTCCTGCCTTAGCTTCTCAAATAGCTGGGACTACAGGCATGCACCACCACCATGCCTAGCTAATTTTGGAATACTCTTTCATTATACAGCTATCTAACATTTACCATCCCCAGGATCCAGTTGTAATCTTGCATCCTTCATAAGGTCTTCCATAACTACTGAAACCACATGGGGCCCAGGTTTCTCTGAATTCCCAGGTTACTTACTTAGTGGCTGCATCCCTCAGGTGGCAATTCATTACTGCTTGACATTTCTTAACTTCTGTGTGTTTGTGTATAACTTTTTTGTTCTTTCTCTTTGTTGTGACAGAAATACACACCACTTAATGGAATGAAGCATATTTAAGATGACCAGAATGCCATATGAATTAAGCAACTTCTAATATTTTTTTTCATAGTGGGCAATAGGATCAGATAGACTTAGGCTATATCCAGTTCTACCATTTATTATCTGTGTGACCATGGACAAGTTACTTATGGTTTTTAAGCCCTGGTTTTCTCATCTGTAAAATGGAAATAATATTTCCTATTTCCCAGAGTGGTTATTTTTTTCTTTTTTAAAGGCTGGTCAAGTGAAGCAGTGGGACAGAGTGGTTATGTGAGGAGTACTTGGCATGTAATATGTACCCCATTAATGTTAATTTCTTTCTGTCTCCTTTCCCCTTTACCTATTTCCTTGCTACTTAGGTACTCAAGTTACATTTCAAACTTCTAAAGAGGATAATGGTATTAATTTTGCCTTCCAATAACTTAATAAAGTGACAGGCAAAGTATATCAATTGAAGTTTATGATAAATATCCATTAACTTCCTTTGCTAATAGTATATATCAGAAACCAGAATCTTCATAAATTATAATTAAGCTTTTTATAAGTGACAGAAAGGTCAGCCTGTTGATTTATATTTTCTTACTAAATGACCTTATCTTAAGTAATATTTGCTATTTACACATTAAATTTGTTAGTTGGTTAATGTACCTAACCTTTTATGTTGCTTACTTTTTTTTTTTTTTTCCTGCAAGGCAGAGCAGAGGTGGGATGTTGCTTACTTTTAAAGTCACTTGTGACTTTTAAAATATTTTTCACTTTGTGCTGTGAGTTTTAAAACATTTTGCATTTTGCCTTCCTGGGACAGTCAGATAAAGTGCATCTTTTTTTTCTTTTGGAGATGGGGTCTCTATGTTGCCCAAGCTGGAGTGCAGTGGCTATTCACAGGTGCAATTATGGTGCTCTACAGCTTCAAACACCTGGGCTCAAGCAATCCTCCTGCCTCAGCTTCCTGAGTAGCTGGGACTTCAGGCACATGCCACTGTGCCTGGTCATAAAGTGCAT